TTTTTGCTCTCGTCAATACTCAGCTCCTGACATCGCCACTTCCACCGTCGGTTTTTTGCAGCATCTTTAGAAGGCAAAAAGATAAGATCATGCAACTATGCGTATCTTTTCCGTTCATTGCGCGTCGTCGGCGCCATTGAGGCTTTACGGCGCATTCGGCTGCTGAGGATGTATAGTGTCGCCTGCCTTCCACCCTAGCAGGAGGGGTGGGCACCGCGGGAAATCGAACCCCGTACCTCCGGTTTCCCAGACGCGCAGCGGTTAACACAAACGCGTTATCCACTACAATATCGGTGCACTCATCTATGTCAAGTCTATACATTTTTGTGTTGAAGTTTCTAATTGAAATGAAGACAGAGTCCGAGCCGTGCTCGGCATGGCTACATACGTCCATCCACCTTAATGTTTAGGGGCTTTGCAAAAAACGCCGAAGCAGACCGATACGATATTTGTAGTACATTTTCATCAATTAATTTTGCACCCGGCAGAACATTTTAAAGTTGAAAGCATGTCACTGCGCTGGTCGAGGTCATGCCTAGGCCAAAGTCCTAAAAATAAGCCCTGATAACTTGTTTAAGCATCAGACAGACAGGATTGATTGACAGACGACAAATTTGTAACTGTTGCAGAAGCGTCCTAATATCTGTAAGCACAGCATGCAGGGCTTGATTGAAAACGCATGGTTTCTTACCCATTTTTCATGAAGGTTTTGTGATAGCTTTATGACCTCGCTTTCTTCCCCTACCAAAAATAGGTCGCGTCGCCCCTGCCCGGGGAACGCGCTATTTATTGCCATTATATTACAATTAGAGATAAATCAAAGTGTTAGAGTCGTTCACAAGTATCTGCTGTATGTGCTAATATCAATTTTGTTTGACCGGCGTTAGGGGCGTAGTTTCGCAAAATGAATCGCCGGGGGGTTGAACGGTGAAATAAGCCAATAAACGGGTTTTTACTTCTTCCTTCTCAAAAGTAGGGGATACGAACCCGAACTGGTGGAGTGGGAGACTGAAGCCGCCAACTTAATTGCCAAAAAGAGCCAAAAAAAGAAGCTTCATCTTTGACTTACATGCTAGATTTAAATGGCCCAGACCGTTTTAGGAAGCGGGAGTCTAATGCCGGTGGTGGCGAAACATAATTAATTACGACCATGCTCGTATATAGCTTAATGCTAACCAGCTGTAGTCGTCCTTCGCAAAAAGTGAGAGACTCTTGTCCATTAATTTTTATTTGGTAAAAGCCATCGCTTCTGGTATCAGATATTCACTCACCATCATTGCATGCAAAACAGATATGAAACCCAAAAGCGAAATAAGTCCAGTCCATGTCAGATACTAAAGCCCAAATCATGCATGTGAGTTATTTTATTGAGAGCTGTCCTTTGCCTTTTTAGGGACCTGTTTTCGGTCCCTATTAGAGAGATTAGAGAACTCTTCTTTTCTGCGACGACTAACAGGTTTTCAGAGTTTGACAGGTCATAAACCTAACTTCAGCAGAAGCCCTCAGAAGCTATTACGCCGCGGACTGAATTCATGTTTGCTCGCTTAGCACAGCATGCGTAAAAAGCAATGAGAGCTTCATTCTTCATGGTGACCAGCTGGTGCGTGAATATTACTTTGATAAACTGTCTTCAAAACTTTTCAGCAGTTACCTAAATTTCTTAAGAAGGTTTTTTCTAAACTTTGCAATGGCATCTAAATGTCGAGGGATTTTCCGGGATCTAAGATCTTATTTTATTTTGGGATCCTGGATCCCTTTTAATTTTCAGAAACAATCTGGGATCAAGAAACATTTGTGAGATTCCGTTTAAAGATCTTCTGCTGTCTTGATTTTTTAAATTGCAAATGTCTCTTTATGCACTTTGCATCTTTATTTTGAATTTTGTCAAAGGAAATTCTGGGATCTGGTGGCTTTTTGAAACTTTTTCGCCGAGGGACCATGCAAATGTTGAAAGACCCTCTGGATCTTGGTTCTTTTTGGGATCCAAGCACAAGTCTGCCAATGATATTTTTTATTTATATAACGCTTATAACATGGCAATGGCTGCCTAATTTCACCTTCTTATCATAGACATGTGCCATGTTCGCGGAATTACCATCGTGTTGCCAGGCACGTTCCAATTGTTACATCACTTTCAGACCTCATTATCGACCTGAAAACAATTGGGTGTTAAGCGGAGCTGAGCAATCATGTCACTTTGACACCTTTAAAGTTGTGATCAAAACACAGGATAGTTTCGTGGACCAAACGTTTTTAATTTCTGAGATGGTGCTATGTAAGGTTGCAATTTGACGCTTTGAGCTGGCGTAAAATGACCTTGAGGAGAAATACATTAACAAAACTCGGACGCATGCCCAAGTTCATATGTCCAGGAAGTCTCTATGCATTCCAAAATGCCTTTACTATCATATCCAGGGGCGCAATTTTGCAAGGTAGGTTGTGGGGCTGAGCAGCAAAAAAAAAAAACAACTATGAATCCTACTCACAAAATACGCAAAAAACAAAATTCGCCCCAGATTTGGCCCACCTTTCTCCAAAAGTTGCGGTACTGGAGCCCAAGAACGGGCTGATGCCTTCCAACTGAATAGGGAACTACACTCCTGATCATGTTACAAATAACTTAAGATACTTCGGTGGAAGTCGGGAGCATGAAACAGGAAGGAATCGAACTCGAGCAAAGTGGTCAAACTTTAAAATGAAGAGTTGACCTTATCATTGATCTGGCCAGAGGCCAGATCAATACCGCAAAGCACATATCACGTGCATTTTCAGGAACGGTGAAACAGTACTGAATGTTCTTAAAATGTCACGCTACGTCAGTTCTACACAACGTTGTGAATATTTGAAACTGGTGGATAAGTGAATGAGTACGAACGTAAAGTAACACTTGGGACTGACCTAGCAGGGTATCTTGGGCCATAAATGAACATATACTCATGCTCCATGACCTACCCCATGTCCACCAAGTCGCGCTAAAATCGAAAAGGCCGGGCCAAAAGGGGAAGATTTTGATGGACTCGGCATGGAATGACACATAGGCATTACGTGATCGGCGGAAGTATCAGAACATCCATAGCCTCCCCAAAACATTGGGGTTACGTACAGGGGCGTCACTTAATGTACCTTCAGGGCCTGCGCGCCCCTCCCCTCCCCTAATGCTGCCTTGACCCCCACTGATTGTTTTACGAGGAGTGAGATTATTAATGCTGTCTTGCCTACATGCATAATGAACCTCGCAAATGAACCTAGCAACTTACGTTATTTTCATTGTAATGGTGATGTATCTAAGTACACTCTACCCAGTAAACCAAAGATTTAAATAATTGTCCGTTTTTTTGTGTGTTTTTTTTTTTGGTTGCCCGACTATTTCCCTTTGATTATATGCATTGAAGGAGCTCAGAAAAGAATGGGTAGAATGGGCCGATAGACATATCGATATTTCAGGCTGCATGCCTTTATCGACACGAACAGCAGTAGTATGATATCAGCGCCACTACCGACATTCGTTTCGATACAGGCAAGTAGCTGAAATATCAATATATTTATCTGCCCAGTCTCCAGGCTTTTCTACGAGAAATAAGGGTATTGATACCGTATCAACTATTATGACCATGTTGATTTTGTTCCAAATAGCATTCTACTAGTGCCTAATGGGCTGTTGTCGTGCTAACTCCCTCATATGCTACGCCTGTCTGGAAAGGTTTGAAAATTTTTAAAAAATGATGACGCATGCATTCGGAGAAATAACAATTGACTGCAATATACAGCAGATTTGAGGGTCGCCCAGATGAAGGTTAACGATGTTTCTCCAACAGTGGCAGGTGCATTGGTCGCGTAATTGAGGTTATGGTGGTATGATCAGCGACAGCGGCATCATCAGTGATCCCCTATTAAAATGTTTTAATATTTTTTTCTGCGAATTGCACCCCATTCTAAGCTTTTCAAAGGACAGCTTACATTAACTTAAGATGAGAAGTTATTGCTTTGCAAGATAACAACTTTGAATCTACGAAATATTCAAAATAATATATTTTTGCTTCATCATCGAAAACGCAGCTGCAAGTGGCCGAAATCCGAGGGCAAATCAGGTTTTGGAGAGGTTTGGTCAACCTTATCGACTGCCTTCCGTTTTTAGAAATTGATACCGCTGGTCACGTCGTTGGCACGGGGCACATTCACCAAAATATCAGCCCACTTAGCATCCAGCTCACGTATGCTGGCGTTAGTATGAGTTGCCTATCAAAAATTGCAATGCTTTGCACGATTCTGTAGTCCCTGACTCTGTAGATCTTTGTAGTCCCTTTTTTGCCGAGGGTTGGTAGTAAATCATGAGCCATTTTCTGCATTCCTACACCGAGAACCTAAGACTTGGAGCAGAATTATTCTTGGGTCCCATAAAAAGAAGCATGTCACATGTTTATAGCTCAGCGGACTTAACTTAATACGGCTTAATCTGAGGCAAGATTTTGTCCCAAAGCATACGTCATGGATGGAGCGATATGGTTATATTGCTACTACAGGTTTTTATATTTTGAGAGCAATAGGGTTTTTAATGAACATAGATGAGGTTTCGGCCATGCCAAATTTTACCATTTCGAAATTCACAATTTTTGCCCTTGCAAATGTCACAACCACTTAAAGTGACTGTTCCGCATTTCATATAATTTTGAACTAAGATGGCCATTCAAACCCTTTTATTTTTTAGCTTAATGCACGCGGAATTGTGCAGTCCACTCCGCGAATTTCTGCAGCCCGGAGTTCTGTCTCAACGATCACTTGAGGACGGCGGGCGTAGTGCCGCCACTCAGCGAAGATCTTATCCGAGCGAAAATGTTTCCCGACGTCAGTAGGTCGTTGGGCGAGAGTTGTCCAGTACCGCTCTTAGGTAGCTACTGGTTTATCGGGTTCGGTATGAAAGTTGAGCTGGCCGGGCAGGCGCGGGTATATAACCCGGGTTCCGTTTGCCGATTCATTCACCAGTGCAGCTCGGAGCCCCAAGCATGCGGCACCTTCAGGTCGTCTGCGTCGTACTGGTAGGTGCAACTGAACCATTCCTCTTCGTTCTGTTCAGAACATCAAATCTACCGTTCACAGAGCTGTAGAGAATGTGGCAGCCAGCTCGGCGGAGACAGACAGATCTTACTTGAGCACATTAGCGCTCCATGTACCTACAAGTATCTTGCAGATAATTGAGCGATAGGAGGCAACCAGTCTTATTGAACTCTTCTTAATTTCATCTTGTACTCGCTTTAAGCTCTTTGGCTCTCCAGCACGTTTTTACCTTGAGTGAACAAGGCCTCAGAAACCCTTCAGCGTGTCAAACTAGATGTTTTGACCCACGGTGTCCTCATTAAGCTAAACTCTCCGGAACTTCATTTGGCCACACATTTAGGCAGGTTGGAAGCTTGATGATCGTTGATAAAATGAACCACAAATTACGACGTCTTTGTCGAGGTCATGTTAACCTTTTTATGCTTTGCATTCTGGTGTCCGATGGCGTGTGTTTATCATATAGTATGCTCTGTAATCCCAGTCTGTTTTATATTTGATTAATCTCGTCGCACCTCGAAATCGATTTGCATGCCGAAATGGATTTGCGTGGCGAGTATCGCACAACTGCTCTGGCTGCTATGCTGCTATGGCTGCTTACGTTGGAGCTCAGCACCCTTCGCATTAAGATCTTGTCACGAAGAGATACTTCTTTTGGTGTCGGCAGGATGAAAGAGGAGCTTGGTATTTTCGAGGCATGCGTACACATGCTCGGAGCATCTGTTCGCGTTGCTGTTCACCAGCAAACTTGCATATCACTACTTTATGCTAAAATCGCAACCAAAATCGATCGGACGTGCAGCAATTTTGTGCCAAGCACTGAGCTGAGTGTCATCCAGTGAGCTCGAATCGCTTTTGAACTAGGGTGGAGGTGAAAAATTTAATCGCAAAAAGACTGTATTTTATGTGCAAAATTCAGTTCACAAAAGTTAGAGCCTATGGGTCAGTGAGAGATGCTCCAGCAAACAGACATACATTTCAAGTTGGCATGGACGTAATATCTTAAGCATGACAAAACTGTTTTTGCTTTTTAACTTCTTAGGCCATTGAAATAAAACTGAATACACAAAATTGGAATTTCATAACGGTGTGATGAGCTACAAAAACTATATAACGGTATCCTATAATTATTACCGACTTTGGGTGTAAAGCAACACCCTGAAAAAATAATTTTTCACTCCTTTTCCTCACCTATATGTGAGTTTTTTACTCCCATCTGATATTGCCCAACCGCACATACCAAACCCATGTTTCCATTTCCAAGCTTTTAAGATGTCATCCACAACCGAGCTCACTTGAAACCATCAGGTGTAAACAAGGCTCCACAGAACTTGGACACCTATGGCTGTATCCTGCCTCACCTACATCTGAATCATGTATGCACAGAGTAAGGACACCAGGTACCTTCAAGCCCGGGAGCCCCGAGGACCCCAGGCGCTTGCATGCATCAAGCTTGGTTTGTTTGCAAAATGCATCACAATTTACAGCCGTGTGCCAAATGCAAGGTTCTCACGCATTTCTGTTTTTCGGTCGCACCACGCAACAACTACACCACCAAATCAAAGCCTGGTAAAAAAAAAAACACCAGCATAGCCTGTTAGAGAATTTTACTCCAAGTGTTTCTTTTACCCAAGGAAACTTGACCACTAGATTGCACCACACCCGAAATGAAGGAGCAGAAAATTCAAGAAATATAAAAACTGAATCTTACTGTTTGAGCACTCATTTGCACACATTTGTAGTCAAATCATTGATTACAAAATTTTACCTAAAACTATCAGTTTCATATTTATTTAAATCCCTTTGTGTTTTTGGTATCATACAAGTGTGAAACAACTCCATTTTCCTCCCTTTCCAATCACTTTAAAGATGCCATTTATGGATTGAGGTGTTGACCAATTTCTCTGCAAAATGTTTCAACTGCAATCTTGCACATATTTCATACATAAATTGGATTAATTCGCCAGCCGCCAAAAAATGTGTTTGATATGCACCCAGTAGTAAACAATTTGCAGAGAATAAAGAAGAAAATTTGAAGCACAGAACTTATTTTAATCGCCATTTTTGCTCTTTTAAACCGCCATTTAGCCGTTTATTTGGTCCATAGGAGAACTCAATGATCATAAACCTAAGCCATCTCAGTTTTACTTCCTCACCACGTTGCATTATCCTGCCGTACATGGCCTTGGGACAGACCTGGCACAGCTGATACAGAATGCTTGATAGCGAAATTCCGCTTTTGAACGTGTTTTAACATGCATGCCTCTTCTTACTAATTTCGCATTTTAATCTTGTAGGTCGGTGGACATCATTGATATTCATATTTTAGGGTTGGATCAGATGACCCTGTCTGTCAGCAAACCACGCGAAAGATATCGACTTTTTGTGTAGGGGGAGCAGAAAGGAGCCTGTACTGAAAATGCCAGTAGGTTACTCCTGTGGAGTACCTAATTGCTAACCTGACCTGCTTTCAACACATGATTTGTGACCAGACCTAGCCATTTTTTTTAATCCATCGACTTTTGTTCATGAGACAAATACTGATGCCACGAGATATGTCATGAAAGTATCTTGTTCCATACTCTTGATTATTTGTCTCAAATTTGTTGAAGTGGTCCCTCATGGCTGCTTGGACAAGATGCGGTCAATAGTTGTCATGCTTTGCTGGCTGGCAAATGACTGTACTGTAGATGGATACTATATTTTTAGCACAGGAATACTCTAAGCTGCATGGTAATTGCAACATGATATAGATATCGGTATGTGGTAAATAGTCAGACCGTCCCATTTAAATTGTGAAGCGAACATCCCAAACTTTGTCATCAAATCTAGATAATGCCAAATCTAAATTATGCCTTTGTTGCGGCTGAAAAGGCAAGCATCAAAACTGGTATGGGCATATACAAGTTATGCTAGGTTTGGAGAAGAGAGGCCGTTTTGTGGAGCATACCCACTATTGACCTTGACAGAGGCTAACCATGACAATCAGAACAAATTGTTCAAAGTGATTTGAGGTGTTCTGATTTGTGTGTTGTCAACTTTGTCTCGAGTCAACAAGCTGAGACAAATGAACTGAATGAAAAGGCAAGGTGAAACCGGCCATGAGTGAGCGTTATCATGTTTTTATCACAAGTGCTGCTGTCAACAGATAGGTGAGATGAGTTGAGATGATGTTTAACACATGGGCTACTCTGAGGTAGGTTGAGATGGTTAATTGAAAACACAAGTTGAAACTAGCCAAAACTGAGCTTTATCATGTTTTTATCACAAATGCTGCTGTCAACAAATGGGTGAGGTGAGTTGAGATCACTGAGCTAGAATCGCTTTTGCACTAGGGCAAGGGAAAATCGTGAAAATTGCATCGCAAAAAGACCGCGAGGGGGTGAAAAATTCCATTCGCATAAGTTGCAATTTAGGGGTCAGTGAGAGATGCTTTAGCAGACAAAGGCATATATTCCAAGTCGGCATGGACGAAATGTCATAGACACGACAAAACTGTTTGGTTTATTAACACCTTAGGTCCTTTGAGTGAAACAGAATACATTAAAGAGTGGTAATGTTATAACGGTGTGATGAGCATCAAAAACCATGTAACACCAATGTTTTGATGCTGCGCTTTGCCCTTAACTTCCATAGGATTTCTAACGCCACATGAAGGAAAGGAATTCAGCAACAACCAATTCAGCAGGAAATCGATTTGACCACAAAGTTTGGGATACTGGCTCCACAGTTTAAATGGGATGGTCTGGCTACTTTCCACATACCGATATCTACCTCATATTGAAATTTCTATGCAGCCTTGAGTATTCCTGTGTTAAAAATACAGTACATATCTCCAGCACAGTCATTTGCCAGCCAGCAAACCATGACAACTATGGGCAACATCTTGTTCAAGCAGACATGAGGGACCATTTCAACAAATTTGAGGCAAATAATCAAGAGTATGGAACAAGATAGCTTCATGACATATCTCGTGGCATCATTTTTTTGTCTCATGATCACAAATTGATGGACCAAAACAAAACAAAAAATGGCTAGGTCTGGTCACAAATCATGTGTTGAAAGCGGGTCAGGTCAAAAATTAGTTGCTCCAAAGGAGCAACTTATTGGCATTTAAAAGACAGACTCCTTTCTGCTCCCCCAGTGCCAAAAATGTCAAAATCTTTCGCATGGTTTGCTGGCAAACAGGGCCATCCAATCCACCCCTAAAATATCAATATCAATGATGTCCACCAACCTACAAGATTAAAATGCGGAATTAGTAAGAGGAGGTCTGCATGATAAAACATTTTCAAAGGCAGAATTTCGCTATCAAACGTCCTGTATTAGGTGCGCCAGGTCTGCCCCAAAGCCATGTACGGCAGGTTAATGTAACGTGGTGAGTTGGTGAAACTGGAATGGCGTGATTTTTCATTATCGATCCCCGTCATGAACCAAATAAACGGCTAACTGGGGGCTTAACAGGGCAAAAATGGCGACAAAAATAAGTTCTGTGCTTCAAATTGTCCCCTTCATTCCTTATGAACCGTTCACTCCTGGTTGCAAATCAAATATGATTTCGGCAGCTGGCGAATTGATCCAATCTATGTATGAGCTATATGCAAGTTTGTAGTTGGAACACTTTGCAGAGAAATTGGTCAGGGCTTCAATCCATAGATGGCATCTTTAAAGGTATTTCGAAAGGGAGGAAAAATGAAGTGGTATCGTACAAAAATACAAAATTCATTGAATGAATATGAGGCTGATACTTTAAGGTAAAAGTTTGCAGTCAATTATTTGACTTAAAATATGTGCAAATCAGTGCTCAAATAGTGAGAATCGGTTTTAAAATGTTATTTAGAAAGTACTTCTTGAATGTTTGGCTTCTTCATTTCGGGTGTGGTACAAGTTATTCCAACAGGCTATGCTGGTTTTTTACCAGGCTTTGCTTTGGTGGTGTGGTGCTTGCGTGATGCGACCAAAAAAGCGGGATGCGTGAGAACCTTGCATTTGGCACACGGCCGTAAATTGTGATGCATTTTGTAAGCAAACCAAACCGGATGCATGCAAGCGCGTGGAGTTGCTGGGGCTCTCGGGCTTGAAAGTACCGGTGCCCTTGCGCTGTGCGCGCATGGACATGATTCGGATGGAGGTGAGGCAAGATATAGCTATAGGTGTCTAGGTTCTGTGGAGCCATGTTTACGCTTGATGGTTTCAGGTGAGCTCGGTTGTGGACGACATTTTAAAAGCTCGGAAAGGGAAATATGAATTTGGTATGTGCGGTTAGAGGATATTAGCTAAGAGTGAAAAATTTACCTACGATATGGGGAAAAGGAGCGAAAAATTCCTCCTCATAGCGTGCTGCTTTACATCCAAAGTCGGCAATCTAAGACACTGGACATGAGCATACTCGATGTAAAATTGCACTGGAACCTATGTAACTTGAAATGGTGCGTATTCATCAGCTGGTTTTGCACCGCAGGAGCCAGTGATTTATGAAAGAGGCAGAAATATAGTCGAACTGCTTACGCTCTGCGTTCTTGCGCAATGTTGGTGGTCGGAGGCAATGACTACTGAAGCACGCAACTGCATCATGATAATTGGAATAGTAATGCAGTATCGGTAAGGTGGCTCGCGCGGCACGGGGTGAGCGAGGTGACAACAGCATATGATCTATGATAACGCATTTTGAAGGTAATGCATAAACTATACGAACAGAACATTAAGCGCTCTGGGGAACTCATGCAGATAGATTTTCTCTACGCGTGGAATCAACTTTTTCCAGCCCACTTTAGTAAGAAAAGTTTGCGAGATGTAAATTCACGTCTTTCTTCAGTTAAGCAATGCATGGGCTTGCGATGGAGCTGGTCGGACAGTGTCATGTGACAGTGAGACAGTGAGATGCGTTCATATTTCGGCAGCATGCCTTTTGGAAACAAATGGCAGTAACAAATCAACTACTGCAGTAGAATAGTAGTAGAATGGCGGTAGTCAATTTTCTACTGCCATTGGTTTCAAAAAAAGAAGTTGTTGAAATATCAAGGCATATATATGTTCATTCCTCTGGTTTTTCTACGAGGAGTTAGGCCGTCACCACCGTGCTATCTATATGCATAATGTTCCTCGCAAATGCACGTAACAACTTACGTAAAATACTAGATGGATATAGGTCTCAGTGAACTGGGCGTTACACTTTCGCATTTTTGGGTATCTCAGTTTCGCTTAAAGTGTGGTCCAAACCACAATCTGCATGGCCACATTCGCATTTGAGCGGTGACCTGATCTGACCTGACCCTTGTTGGGAATAGAAATGGTCGGCAAGGAATCCCCACAACTTCAATAATTATTTGTGTACTTTCAGTATCCCTCTGGCATGTAAATATAGGTTTTGACCGCATCTATCAGAAGCACCGTTTTTTTTTTACCTCATGTGACCTCTAGTGACCTCACATTTGACCCGAAATGAAAAATAGCGAATAATTTTCATGCTTCGACTAGACCTTCACAACGGTATCTTTGGTTTTCTCATAGGGCATCTGGAAATTGGCGACCCCGAGCGGGAAAGTCAGTTTCCCACGGCCGGGCGCGGTTGTGTCGGACTCCCGGCTGAGCGGGGGTTAAAGCACGGGGAGCAACTGCAAAACTGGAAAATACCCAACATGTGGAAACTGATGCATCCTCACCGGACAATGGAGGCATGGACATGAGAGTTGCATGAATCCCAGCGTCGTCCGCGGCCAAGTCAGACACATGCCGCTGCAGCTTTCAGGTCGCACCGAGCTCTGCTCGGCTTCCGAATCCACGCCAGATTGGCAAGCTCGCAGAGCAAACCATTAAGCCGCATGTTCGCGTGGTACCGCGGACGACGGCGGCGGGCCCGACGTGCCTCAGGCGCGGCGTCTGGGTCGCGTTCAGGTCAGAGGTCAGGCGGTGCTAACGTGCAGCAGCGGCGCCTCCCACGTCTCGCTTACCGTCCAACCACACGGAAACAACCACGTGCGGTCTGAAGTACACCCCGGAAATTGTTGAAATGTATGTGTGACGGAGCGTGCGGCGTCCTCCACAGGCGGTGTGGGCCGCGGCCGGTGCCGCAGCTGCGGCGGCCAGCGAGTCAGCTGCTGATCCCGGCGCCGCGCCAGCCGCCGGCCAGGCGGCCCCCGGTCAACGTAACGCACGTCGGTGTCTGACCTGCTACATCAGAGACCTGCTCGGACTGACGGACGACACAGCCAAGGATGATGCACAGGAGCCCAAGCGGCGCATCAAAGTCAACCCTGTAATCGTCATTAAGCCGGACCAGCTGAAGGCGCCGTGCAAGGTAGGGTGGACCTTACACTGCGCACTGGGACCATACTGTGCCATGCTAACAAGGAACATACAACATAAATTCACTGGACTTCACACTAAAAGGTGAAAAAGCATACACATTGGGAACAAGAAGACCCCAGAGTGTTAGACAAATCTGAAAATCCATGAAGGGATTAAATAAGCTAAAGCGGACAATGACGGAATTATTATATGAAGTCTACTAATCTAATGTCGTGGTCAGACTGTCAAAGATATCATTGTTACATGGGATGATAACATCTCGGTCAATTCCTCCCGGGTTGTTTTATGACTTACCGTCAGCTTGCCTATCTAAGCGCTTTGCTATTGTCGGTTGACCTAACATGATGTGTGTCAAACACTGAATGACGTCACAATGTGAGTTTTAAACATACGCAAGTGACTGCTGCATCGCATATCCAAGATCAATACGTGATCGTAAAATCGCAAATGATCTCAAATCAAACGGCATGCGTATCAGGCTGTTGTGCTGGGTGCGATACAGTAGCCAAGGGTGAATAGCATTCGCCTCCCTTCACCTTTCCTGGGCTCAACGTTGGTGATGCACCTATTGCTGTCGGAAGCGGCGCACCAGAGCACCCACCCATAACTAAAGATGACACCCATTTCGGTTGACCTCTGTCACCAGGGGCGCCACTGTGAAGGACGGGGCGGAGGCCGTCGGAGTAGTTACTATGACCGCCACAGGAGCGACTACCATGGACACTACAGAGACGGCTACGAAAACGGCGGTGGTCGAAGGCCCCACGGCGCCGCCTACATTCCGAACGGTGAATGCGACTGGTTCCGACGCTGTAGCAGCGGGGAGTGTCTGGCCGGCCGGTGCGTGCAGTGCGTGCACGACGGGCACTGCACGACCGGTTACACGTGTGCTGCCAACGAATGCGTGCAGTGCACACTGGACAAGCACTGCACTGGCGAGAAACCGGTGTGTTACCAAAACCAGTGCGTTGCCTGTGTCTCCAGAGCGAGCTGTCCTCATGGCTTTTATTGCCTGAGCAACAGCTGTGTCCCGCTTGGTGCGCTTGACGCTGAGTGCTCCGGGCACTATCAATGTGGCTACGGAAAGTGCGTAGAGGGATTTTGTAAACAGTGCACGGAGGACGCAGATTGCGGCAGTAAGGAGTTCTGCGGCAAAGGCGAATGCAAGCCACTCAGGCAGGGTGGCAGGTCTTGCAACAACGACGGCAAATGCGAATCAAAGCGCTGCGATGAGGGGTTTTGCACGGAGTGTTCGAGCACGCTTCCGTGCCCAGACAATCACGACTTCTGCGACCACGGAACATGCAAGGGCCCCGGGAACGCTGGCGATGGGTGCTGGATCCTCTCCCAGTGCAAGTCGCACATCTGCAGGCGCGGCAAATGTGCCACATGCGCACACCATAGTGATTGCGCATTGGACCGGTTCTGCGACGAAGGCAAGTGCCGGAAGAAGCGTGATTTTGGGGCGAAGTGCTCAGGCAACGACCAATGTGAGTCCCAGCTGTGTAATGTTCAGGAAGAGAGATGTGTCCAATGTCTCAACTCGTGGGGTTGCGGTGACCACGAGTTCTGCGATGAACTGGGTGCTTGCGTGGCGAAGAAAGGCCTCGACGAGAGCTGCGCCAGCGACATGCAATGCGACTCTCACAAATGTTTGGAGAGTGAGTGCGTAGCATGCAAGACGAACAAGGACTGCGGCAGCGGCATGCGCTGTAACGAGGAGGGAACCTGCGAGCCCCAAGGAACCTTTGGAGATAGCTGCATCATTAACGACGACTGTCGGAATCCGCTTCTCTGCAGCCTGGACAGCAAATGCGTCGAGTGTCGCACACAACAGGATTGTGGCCCCAACATGCGCTGCAATGCAATGGGCAAGTGTCGAGTAAAAAAGGCAAAAGCTGGGCAAGGCTGCAGTGATGACAACGACTGCGCCAACGGGCTTCAATGCTTTGATGATACGTGTTATGAATGCGATGAAACAGGAGGCTGCGGTGAAGAAGAGATATGCGAGAACCACGTTTGCGTGGAAGACGAGGGCGAGCCATGTATCGATGACAGCGATTGCCCAGGCCAATTTCATTGCTTCGGTGGTACATGTGGTGAATGCGAATTAGACACAGACTGCTCTGAAGATGAGATGTGCGATGACTATGTTTGCGTGCAAAACGGTTCTGCGCAGTCAGAAGACGGCAAATAATCTGTATAAATATCCACATAATTACGCGAGCTCCAGCTCCAGAAGTGTAATGATGTGCGCCAGCGCCATGCCGGGAGGGTCTGCCGTGCGATTGAGGTACTTGTGAACCCGTGCTATGAGCTTGCCTGTCCACCGACGGCGGGTATTTCGATGATGACGAGTGACCGCTGTCAGGCCAGTGTCTAGTGCGTACCAACAGCAACCGACTATGATCGGGTCTGTTCACGCAGGCACAGGGGTACGGTGCGCAGACGCAGGAGTGTCTGTTGCACCGGTCGCAACGGATGCCGTGTCAATATGACCAGCTGTGAACCTTAACGCGTCAGCCATCGTGGATAAGCGAGTGGTTGTGCGGGCTACTCTGAACGTCGAACAGCTAGCGGTGACTCAGGCTCCCGCAAAACATGATCAAGCCGTGGGCAGGACGAGGCGTTGGAGATCCGCAGGCGACGAACATGCCAGCATGTTAGGGGAAAGTGTGTGGTAATTGCAACACGGTGTTAAAGACATGTTTACACGAATACACGGGAGTATTTTATGTTATTTGTTTAGCCGTCCAGTATGAGCATCTGACCGATCGGCAGTGGATCCACAGATAAGTTGGAGGGATGAACTGTGTCTTAGACACCATACTAAAACCCGGCCATCAATATTTTGCTTAGGTCAAGCACGTACCCTTATTGCACATCTATTTACCATTCACTCGCTGTTTTTGCGCTGCATTTTCAGACCTGTGAGGAAAGAGGGGCGCAGGTTAACACGACATCTTTCCATTCCGATGTTCTTCCTTTAGTGCAGCAGTTCACCTAAAATTGAGAAGTTTCACGGAGATTATTCAACACTCAGTTGGCGTATCATTCCACAGGTAAAAAGAAAACTGTTGTGTTGGTGGTTGAAGCGCGCCACTTAGTATAGCGCCACTTTTTCATGCAGTCTGCTGGTCCACTCCTCGGGTATCTCCCACCGCATATGGCTATTGGGCTGCACTACATCATGCTTGACAGAACACACATCTGAAGTGCTTTAGGGTGTGTGTCGATGCCTGGTTAGCATCACATTGCGTCTTTGAACCGCTGCATGTCACTCGTTTAGAGGGCAGCGATTATTTGTTGCAAACAAGCACACTGAGGCAAGAATGCTGGTTATTGCCCGTAATGCGCAAATCGCATCTCAGGTGATTACCTAGGTTTGAACGCGATGTGACGCCACAAACCGTCGTAACGTAGGGTTGTTGGCGAATTACACAGAAGTGATAGCCTTATTCATCAGAGAAAAACCAGAAGAACGGAGATAGAATTGAGTTGATCTTTCGGCAACACGCCGCCGTCAAAGCAATAGCAGAAGTGAATTCAAAATTGCCTTCCGACGATCCTACCTGGTTTTTCAGATTTTTGGAAACAGCAAGCCACAGTTTTTACAGGACACCAGGAGACATTCAAGAGATTTAACAAAGAGTGACTGCCAGCCACTACCACGATACAGTGTCTATCTAAGAGTTAGAATACGCAAACATGCGTGCATATGCAAACGAATTCAAGTAAACAGGCATCACGCATCACGCTTTATTCAAACATGCAGGTGAGTTGAAGTAAACAGGCATCACACATCGCGCATCAATTATACATGCAAGCGATTTCAAGTAAACAGGCATCACACATCACGCGTCAGGCATCACTTACACATGTAAACGATTTTAAGCTAACACACATCACACATAGAGGCACATATCACGTTCGCATAATCGGCCCTGATGAGCTCTGCATGTGAAGATTTGGTCACCGACTTTTAATAAGAATAGATTCACTTATTTTTCTGTCTGGGCGGTCCTGTGCTCTGTAGATGCTCTGTCCTGTGCTCGTTAGATAAAAAACGTGAGACATGGAGGAAGATCATCGGCAGGCAATTTTGAATTCACTTCTGCTATTGTTTCGATCAAGGCATGTTGCTGAAATATCAACCCAACTATATCTCTATTCTACTGGTTTTCCCCGAGGAATAAGGCTATCACTACTGCCTTGTCCATGAGAATAGTGTTCCTCGCTAATGCGCTGAACAACTTACGCATTGGTTGAAGAATTCATCAAGGGTAGCGCAATTCTGGCGAACAAAAACAACGAGGCGATTCATTCACAAAACGTCGACAGTTTAACACTGAAGTCGACTGTTAAACACCAATAGTGATCGCCGGTGATTTAAACATCAACCTGATTGGCTCGAGCACAGGCACCGGCTATCAGAAATTGATGCAGCTGTTAAGGCCTTACAATCTGCATATGTGTAACGATTCCTATCCAACGTACCGCCCTGCTGGCTCGCTGTTAGATGTTACGATCACAAATCACAAGGACCTCATCCAACGCTGTGGTGTCACCGCCTGTCACTATAGTCCGCATGACTTCACGCGAATATTGCTGAAAGTATCGAAAGGGAAACGCCAAACCAATGTCATCACATCCCGCTGCCTGAATCGAGTTGATCTTGATTATTTCAATGATTTGCTTGTTAACGCCGACTGGTCTCTCGTCTATGGAAGTGCAACGACGTCTGAGAAGTGGGACTCTTTTCTAGGAGTGTTTACACCCCATTTGAATGCCGTCGCGCCTGCCCGGCGCATTAAACTGCGCTGTCAATCCGCCCCACCTGTCTCAGCTGATACGCGTGTGTTGGTGGTTCGTCGCCGCGTCGCTCTAGCGTGCTGTTCGCGTGCTGAGTACAAGACACTCAATAAGCAGACGCGGGCAGCTATTAGACGGGACTGTCGCGATCATATTAGGAAGCAGATTTCTGAGGCAGGTCACTCCGGCATGTGGCGGTGCGTTAAATCGGCCATTGGCAGTAAACAAGGCACGTCAGCCACACCTAACATTCATCCTGATACTTTGAATGGCCACTTTGTGAAGGGAGGGCCTACGACTGCCGCCAGCGTGCCGAGCCGAGGCACGGCTTTGCCAGTCAGGCTCCCCCAAGTTATGACTATGACCTGCTCATTTAAGGTGCATCCTGTGTCATGCGATGAGCTGCTTGCAGCTATGTCTACGATGAACCCGACGACATCCTGTGGGCTAGATGAATTTAGTACGCAGCTCTTACAGAAGTCTTTTCGTGGTGTCGGCTGTCCCCTACTTGACGTCATCAATAGCAGTTTCATTGAGGGAACGGTGCCCAGCGCCTGGAAACACGCTCTTGTCACAGGGCTCCCGAAAACCAGTGATTTGAACGATCCTACCAAATTTAGGCCAATCTCTGTAGTGCCAGCGATTGCAAAAATAGTCGAGCGTATTGTTCATCATCAGCTTAGCTCATATTTCAACGAGCGTGATTTATTTTCGCATACACAACACGGATATCGCACGAATTTTTCAACAGAGACCGCACTTACTGTAGTGACTGATAAAATACTCACCGCGATGGATGCTGGGGAGATCGCTCTACTTGCTTTGATAGATCTGTCAAAATTTTTTGACGTTGTGGATCACCAGCTTCTCTTACCCAAGCTTAAGCTATACATTATTGACACAAAATGGTTTGAAAGCTACCTTTACGGGCATACCCAACAGGTTCAGATCAGATATCCTTCAGGGCACACTGCACGCTCTCGCAGTTTTCCGAATGGGATGGGGGTATTTCAGGGTACCGCCCTCGGGCCGCTCCTATATTCCATTTTCTCGAACGATCCAGCGTTATATTCAGAAGGTGCCACAGTGATGCAATATGCCGATGACACACAGATTTTGGTTACTGGAAAGAAAAGTGCAATGCAACATCTTGTCGGAACCATGGAGAGTACCTTGTCAATTGTATTGGACTGGTTTAACAACCACTCTATGAAAGTCAATACAACAAAAACGCAGTTTATAGTTTTCGGGACAAAGGCTATGCTGCGCAATATGCCTCCTGTGCATGTCAAGTTCGGGTCAGCTGTCATTACTGAAAGCAATACTGCCAAAAGCCTTGGTGTGGTGATGGACAGAAATCTCGCATTTGAACCGCACATTGATCAGCTTGTTGCCAGGTCGACGGGCGCTCTGATGGCCCTGTCCCATGCCAAGCATGTGCCTCCAAGAGACGCCCTCGTTCGCACTGTCGGAGCTCTAGTTCTTTCCTCAATTAGATACTGTGTAGTACTGTATGGTAGTCACGGAGCCACCCTGCTCCATCGCGTGCAAAAACTTGTGAACTTCTGTGCGCGGGTTGTGAGCGGAAGGAGAAGGTGTGACCATATATCGGATGTTGTCAGGGATCTACGATGGCTTAGTGCTGATCAGCTCGTCAGATATCATATGTTGTGCCTGCTCAAAAAAGTCTTACTCACGGGTCAGCCACCAGATATAGCCGCGATGTTCACACGTGCTGAGCACACTCATGAAACGCGACAGGCTAACCAGCTGAGGCGCCCCCGAGCGGTGAGCAACTCTGGCACTCGCCGATTTAGCTACAGAGCATCGGATTTGTTTAACTGCCTTCCGCCCGACTTGCGCAATGTTCAGAGTCTAGGCCGCTTCAAGCGCCAACTTATGGAGTTGCTACTGAGTGAGGCGAATGTTGGCACATGAGTGGGTGCGTGTGTGAATTCGATTGTGTGTGATGCTACGATGTGAATGCAGTAGTGTGATTCACCGAGATGATCCCTTGACCGATGTGTGATGTGTTAGGCTATTTTTGTTAGGTTTCACATGGTCTCTTTTATGCCCGTTTTTATCAATGATGACGTGTAACTTCTAAAAAGCCACTGGACCTTGTGGAAAGTTACGAAATATATGGACATGGACATGAAGTGAGCAAGCACCAATCTCCAATTCAGGACAATGTGCTTTGCGTAACAGAAGCATGACGTCGACGACGCATTACAGATAGGAAATAGTCAGTAATAGACAGATAGGATAGTCAGTTTCAATAGGTAATCTCTGAGTCAGCGGTATTTCGACAGACTTCACAGACCCTGATCCTGATCCTGGTCCTGATCACAGAGCCTGGGCCAAAGATCGTCTATAAAAGATGGATTTGGCACTGCAGCCCAACTGATCCTCCAGCGAATTGAGCATAAGCCAGGGTGTCGGGAAAATAATAAAACCAGAAAACCATGAAAGGTACTTAGAATAGAGGGACACTTTCTTATTCCTACAGCGCTTTAAATTCATCACGAAACAACCGGCAATTTGCACCATTTTGGGCAGCCCGTGGAGCTGGATCTTGATAATTTTTCGTTGAAATGAAGAGCATATCCTAAGTGCCACGTAATCATACTTTTGTTGTTGTACTTCATAAGTAAACAAATAAATGTCAGGGTACTACGTTTTGTGTAACCGTGGCATTTGGCATTGAGAGTCAGTTTTTCCAAGTGTGACAAACGCAAGCATCACAAGCATCGATATCACGAGACGAATTATGCTGCATTTCTTTGGTAAGCAAATAAGTGCCAGGTAGCTGCGTTTCTTCTGACCTTGAATTTTGACGTTTAGAGTTAGTTATTCTAGGCGTAACAAAAGCAGGCATCTCGTTCATCAATATGGCACGATGAGTTACGTT